GCTTTTGGAAAAATGGCGCCGATAGACTTGCTCGACGCAGGGTTGCCACAAAACTTCGATTTTTTTAAAAAACGCAATATCTGCGAAGCGCAATAAAGCGAGGTATGCCCGTAGTAATTGACAGTGGCTAACAGTCATAACACGTTCTGAATAACTGAAACACACAAAAGTACGAACGCAAAGTAATTACAAGGTTAATCCGCGAATTACGAAGGAACTATTTTGAGATTTATATCACTGCCATCAAAGCGGCAATGTTTATAAGGCGTAAAGTAGATCCTTCCGTAGAAGAAAGGTGCAGGGCTAAAATGACCCTTAGCGACGTTTCGACCATCCCTAATTTTGTTTCAACACCGCTTCTTTACGACGGAAGATACTTTATTCAATTCGTCTTACGTGTTCTCGATTGTGAAATATGTTTCTCGTTATCCGCGATTTTGTGGGTAATTAATTTCGGTTCCCTAATTACTTCATTCAGTTCCTGATTTGTCAATTAAACGCCAGCCATCGGTCTGTGGAATCTAATTTGATCTGCCTAAAGAATTTTATCTAATATTATTTTCAAAGCGCGCATTTGCAATCCAGACATTGAGAAGACAAAGATGGCTGACTGGCGAACAATTCATTTAAAGCACGTAAACTCTGCTACACATGGCTATCAGTAGACTTTAAAGCATTAAAATGATGCAGAAAACTCATTGGCATGGACTGTAAATTAATTTACAATAACATAAAGAAATATGCAGTAATTTATAGATTTTAAGACGCATATTTTTGACATTTGAAAATTTCTAAAATCGGGGTGCGTATCGCTAAATTACAATTTTACAATAGATGGCGTCTTAAATCCAGGAAACACGTGGAATCAACGTACCGAACCGGAAATAATTTTTTTAAAAATAAAATCCGTTTTGTTAGCAGTGGATTTAAAAGTTTCGTATAATTCTAAGAAAAAGTGAGATTATTTTCGTTAACAACGTTGAACAAATGATCTTATTAAATAAGACGCGTTGTGTTTTCTTTGAGGCAGTAATCGAATTTCTTTAACTTCGTGTCATTATTTCTTAAACTTACTTCCTAAATGGCTCACCTCCCCAGTCATTAAGGTTTCCTGCGCCACCAACTTTGAGGCCTCAACATTTTATACAATCTACTTGATACGCCCAAGGAAATGCTTTGGATCATCGACTCGAGAAGAGACACTTAAGTTGCGCCCCGTTCTTAAAACGTCCTGGTGGCTTCTCACTACGGTTTGTCTGCTTCGTTAACTCTGAATTAAATTCGAAAGAATAGATTAAAGGAAGGAGAAACTCTAAAGGAGAATAAGAGAGAAAAACTAGCTTCATTACTGCAATGGAATACGAGGAGTGAATATTAGAACTGCAGCTTCAACAATTCTCGTGGATGGCGCCAACTCTTATACCAAAGGAAGCCAAATACACGTTCTTCGTCTGTTTTAATAAACGTTAATGAGACATATTTATTCCTTGTGTCACACATCGGCGATAAAATTTAATCAAGAGCCTTTTACTAACACACAAAGCACGCGGATCGAAAAACAACATAAGATGAACAGAAAAATTACTTCGTATTATACGTAACAGAGCTAGAATACCATACAAAATACATGTTTTAACCGAAACTTAGAAAGACAACAAGTTTTTAAGTTAGGTTAGTATATAAAACGATTGTTTTTGATTGTCAAAACTTTTATGTTAGGTTAGGTTAGGTTAGAAAAGAACAATCTTTTTAAATCTCAAAACTTTTGTTAGGTTAGGTTAGTATATGAAACGATTGTTTTTGATTCTCAAAACTTTTGTGATAGGTTAGGTTAGGTTAGAAAAGAACAATCTTTTTAAATCTCAAAACTTTTGTTAGGTTAGGTTAGAATATAAAACAATTGTTTTTGATTCTCAAAACTTTTATGTTAGGTTAGGTTAGAATATAGAACAATCGTTTTTAATTCTCAAGACTTTTGTTATATTCGGTTTTCGCGACTATCTCGCACAACCTCCATCTTGACAGCTTACCCAATCGACTCTTGATTAATATTAATTTACGCAACCAAACAACATTAACATTACGATTTATTACATAATTTACCTACTGACTTCAGGCATTCTATACATTGCCGGCAACATATACACACGGGGGCTGAGTAAGAGGATCCTTGGCTTACACTTCCTCAGAATTGAGTAGGAACACGCCAAAGGATATCACTCGTGCAAGAGAAAACTGCCTCATTTGTTCCTTCTTAGGTGATGTCATCAGAATTACCTGTGCTTCTAGATACAAGCCCTTATTCTGTCAATATAGAGTCTGACTACATGCTGGGCGATCTGGGTTCGATTCCCGGCAAGGCAGGATTTCTGTCTTGCCATAAGTTCAGATTTCAGACTCCAGATATGTGGTAAACCCAGTCTCCTATCCAATGGGTACAAGAATTCTTCCCCCGGGAATAAAGCTGCCGGAACGCGAAGCTAATATAAATACGTGGAGCTATAATCCCACGCCCACCATACACCTGGAACTTGCGATTCGAAAAAAAAATAGTTACGAAACAGATTCCGTTAATTTCTTAACTCGATGATTTATACATTAATCCAATATTTATATCACACAGCCCTGGATCGGAGAATTTTAATGTTCACTTTATATAACAGCGTACCTATCGCACTTAGCTACATTTACCACGGTTACCTGTGGTAACATAATTGTTCAATCACCAGACGCGTCTGACGTCAGTGATGCCAGTCGAAAAGTATTAAAGGCACAAATTCTGGCAAAAGACGCAGAATTTTTACCACACGCGTACAGTTCCTAACTTGTTACTTTTAAATCTATATTTTATCCTTTATTTTCCTTAACTTTTTCACTCTTTCTTTCTTTCTTATTTGAAAGATGTCAAAGTAATTTAGGATAAAGCCTCGAGGTACTTCATTCAATAAGGACCACGTGACTGGTTTTGGATTGGAAATATATCACTTCGATTGGTCGAGGAGAACAGAAATAGATTATCGAAATGGAGGATGAGATAAAAGACGAACTGGTGTGGGTCCCCCCCCCCCCCCCCCCCCCCAATTTTCTTCAAGATGTCTTAGCCGATGTTATAATATCCCGCGAATCTGAGAAGACCAAATACCATTCTGATAAGGTCGTGTCTCTTCAACTGTGACCGAGTAAGTTTGCTCAGCGGTAGGATGCCTCGAATCCAGGTCAGGGACAGAGTAACACAAGGTTCTTCTTCGGTTAATAAATTCCAATACTTCACCAAAAGGCCTCAAAATATGATCCATTCCTCCTGCTTTATAGTCGTTTCATAATTCATTATCATTTTCGCTTTTTACAGTTGAAATAGCATAATAAAATATCAAAGTACATTAGAAGTGAAAAGTATAGGCCTTAAAGGGTGAAACCTCTCAGATAAAAATTGTTGTCCCCCTAACCACCACTCACTTAGGCGTATGGGGACGTGGAGGTAAAACCCCGCGCCTCGAGAGATGTCCTACCCCTGACAGGAATTGGCCATGGGTATTTCAGTTCGTAATAAGTCTGACAGAGTTACGTCTAGTGCATTACTCAAGTCAAATACAGATATAAAATTAATGTTACGTAATGTTTGAAACAAAGGAAACTATTATTTCACCGAAACGTCTTACATATATGTTTATCAGTAAAAACTAAATAATTATTCAATTCAATAATAATTTTTGATATGGCATAAATAGTTTTCCAGAAATGTAAAAAAAAAAAAAATACATTTTCTCAGACACATGTAATCTGCGTTAAAAGACGAACTCCTGCTAATTCGAAACGGGGTTCAGAAACCAAATAAATCGTAACAAGACCGTAGAGATGTAATCCACGTTTCACAACACTTCTCAAATTTATTTTAACTTTATGATTGTTCGTTTACTGCAGAAGCAAGTTTATTATTCACAAAGTCAATCAATGCCAAACATAAGTTGCATTACGTAAGGACGTAATTATACAGGGTGTCCATATATTAGCGGAATATCTTTTTTATAACACATAAGAAAATCGTATGCAATACAAAAGTGTCACAGAATATACAGGTAGTGACACAGGTGAGCTCCGAAAATAACGCCAACTTACTTGGTTTTCTCGGGGATTTTCGTACCTGCCCCACTCCGAGCGATAGTTTGTGATAACATTTTAAAAAATATGACGTTCGATAACTTTGTACCTTTCCTCA